TTTACTTTTTCTAATGCTAACGGCATGGAAAAGCCATCTTTTTAAAAGAACCTTTCCCAGCACAGTAGAGTAGGATAAATCATGAAATCAAACAGACAATTTTAATATTACTAGATAGAGCTTTACATAAAAGATAAAGTGATTATGCGTAAAGTTATCTCTTGTTTTAACTACACAAAATGGGGGTCCATCTATAAAACCAGTGCTTGAATCCTAACCCATAAAGCATTTGTGTAATTACAAATACCCTTTAAGATCATGTCATATGATCAACACCCTGCATTAAATCTGTACATATCCGTAAATATGACATTTATCAGAATAGTACTATACACCACACCCACAATATTCAACTTAAAATGGCTTATGTTTTAAAAGAAACTATGGTTTTAAAATATACAGCTAAAATATTACATAAAATACATGTAAAAATGTGCCCTGTTCGAATTTCACAGTGCATAAACAAGCAAGGATAGACATCTGTCTCTGCATTTGATGACTGATCCTTTACAGTAGCTGGTTTTCTGATTTGCACTGACTTTCCTTTTATTCAAAACCTACATTGAAGCTATTATTGCACAATCGGTGCAAACGCTTAGAGGCTTATGAAAGAAAACAATACAACGTAAATCAAACATTAAAAAAAAGCTCCACATCTTGCTTCCATCAGAATATACTTGCCGGGTGGGTTACATTCCTGCAGCTTTTCAGCACTTTTTCCAGTCAGCAGAAGTGTACACCTAATCCATACATAAATCACCATTCCAGGGTCTGCTGGTTCAGTCTTAACCCAAAGACTGCATCATAAAGTACTTGATGTACTTGGAAAAGTCTGTTTATATATCAAAACGATGTGGACACTAGCATGTATCATCTGAAAAACAAAACAAAAGACGAAGACGTGAATTTAGCATGCAGAGAGAGCAAAGCAAACAAAGTGATTTGAACTTTGGTCAGACTAAAATTTCTGACACTAAAATAACTCGCATGAAAAGAAGTTTTATAGAAGATAACGGGATACACTCACCATGATACCACCACTTGGTTTTCTTTGGATTCTTATTACATGTCTTTACATAAAAGGAGTTATCTGGAGGACGTCGCTGAAAAGCAAACAGTTCATTAGACGTATAAATGACCGTAATAAATGAATTTCATTAACCTTCCTCAATTTGGTTAAAGGGGTCATATGACGCTATTTTAAAGATCATTATTTTGTGTATTTGGTGTAACAGAATATGTTGACATGCTTTAATGTTCAAAAACACATTTTTCAAATACTGTACATTATTGTAGGTCCTCTATGCCCCACCTCTCTCAAACACGTCGTTTTCAACAAAGCCCCC